CCAAGGTCTAGGTGCTAGCAGATTCAGTGTCTGGTGAGAGCCCCTTCTTCTTAGATGGCCATCTTTTCTCCGTGTCCTCCTCACATGGCAGAGGGAACAGGGAGCTCTGGGGTCTCTTTTATAAGGGCACTCATCCCCTTCATAGCAGCTGTGCCCTCATGACTTAAGCTCCTCCTAATACCATCACATTGGGGGTTAGATTTCAACATATGAATTTAAGGAGACACAAATATTCAGACCATCTACACTAATAAAAGAGAAACATGCAAATTGACCATCCCTCCACTACAGCTACCAGCCAATCAAAGCGAGTATGCAAAACCCAGCAAAGATGGCAGTTAATTTGCATACGCAGGCGCGGAGCGAAGAATGAAGACAGCTTAGAAGGAAGCTAAGCACTGCAGAAGGGAGCTAAGCGGCGGAGAAGGGAGGGAGCCACAGCGGAGACGGGAGCGGAGACGGGAGCGGAGCCGAGGCAGCGGACACAGGAGGGAGCGAGGCAGAGGAGAAGGGAGCAAAGCCCGCCAGACGGGCTTCGCTCTCTTCTCTGCTTCACTCCAGCTCCAGGAAGCCCTATTCTTGCAGGAATAGGCCCAAGGAAGCCATGTTCTTGCAGGAATCTTCCTGCAACAGGCCTCTAGTCTATATATATAAAAGCCAAAGCGACCGAACGACTGAACGACCGAATGAGCGGTTGACCGGTCGCTATGACATGCACTGACCACAAGGGGGAAGATGCTCAATGCAGGAGCTTCCCCCTGGTGGTCAGTGCGCTCCCACAGCAGGAGCGCTGCTCAGCTGACCGACAGGCACCAGACACCGGGCTCATGGCTGGTGAGCACAGCTGTGGCAGTGCTACCAAGCTGCTGCAGCGGCAGGTGCCCAAACCAGGCTCAGGCTCCTCCCTGGCCACCTGCCGCTTCATGCACTACTACATCCCCCGAGGGGTCCCAGATTGTGAGAGGGCACAGGCCAGGCTGAGGGACCCCAGTGGTACATGAATCTGTGCACTGGGCCTCTAGTAAGACCATAATAGGGAAGATCCTGAGTTCCGGTGGAGCCATGTCAGGTGTTGGACTCTTTTGGACATCCAAGTGAGATGTTGGGTGTACGGTTTAGGATCTTCAATAACCCCGTGTTCGGAAATATCCCAGTGCTATTTGCTCAGTTGCTATGGGCTCACTTTTCCTCACTGCACAAGGTACTCTGCAGCCCTCCACCCAAAAGCTCATGCCCCTTGGTTCTGCTAATTTTCTTAAATTTGTTTAATGATTTCCTCCCCTCTGTCTTCTCTGCTTTCCCTTCCTAAAACTACTATCTATTTCATTTTGGATCTCCTGGACAGACCCATTTGCTTTTCTTTCCTATCCTGTTTCCCATCTTAGTCCTTTTGTTCTGTTTCTAGATGTTTCATCCCTTCTTTACTTCGGGTATTGCATTCTTAATCTTCAAGAGCTTCTTTATGTTGCTGGAATGTTTTTTCTTTGAGCATCTTGCTGATTTATAACAGAGAATCACACTCATTTCTTCTGCATCACACCTAGCAGTGTGGCAGCCAAGGTCCCACAAGTTCAAGTTTGTGTCCATGTTCAATGCCAAAACTTTCTCTGTGATCCAGGTGTTGTTTTTTTTCTCCCAACAAAACCATCCTCAGGCTCCTGACGAATCTCGGGGGTCTCGCCAAGGACAGGTCAGCTGCCTCTTCAACAATCACCAGGGAAAAGAGGGGCACAGAGAAAATATACGTGCTACAAACTGTATGTACGTGATTCTACAGATAATTTGTGTTAATTGTTTTTACAACAAAGCCGTCAAAGTGTTATTGTTATTTTAGAGAAGAAAAAACACACATTTCAGCAAACTGAATGGACTTTTGTGTCTGGCTGTAAACGTTTTCTTTTGCTGTACCTGAAGTTAAAACATCAGGATCCAGGTTCCAACTCCTTTTCAAACCCACGGGGCCAGCTGACATGCAGGCTCTCCAATCACAGGGAGGGCTGGGGGCCAAGATGCGTTTTCATCGACCCGCTGGAAGTTCTAATTTTGAGACGCTTTGGTCTAGAGCTGTGCTATCCAGTCGATTAATAAACTAAGTGAGATTCAAAGGAAATACCTACCGCTCCCCAGGCCTCCCTCAGAGCGCACAGGGAACCGGGGGGAACGTTCGCAGCCGGAACCCGCCGTCGCGGCGCCGCGCCGCGCCGGAGGGATGCACTTGGGCACCGGACGTGGGGTGCGCGAGCAGCTGCGGTTCCGGTTCCGACCCGGCGGGAGGAGGAGGAGCGGGAAACCGCGCTGGCAGAGGTAGAGCCCGCTGCACCGCCGCCCTTGCCCCGCCGCCCGCCGCGGCGTGTCCTCTTGTCCCCCCAGACCCACGGACATCCGCCAGCCCGCGGCCGCTCGGGCTACTGGCTCCGCGTCCCCGCCCTCCCCTTCCTCCTGCGACCCGGCAGACTGTCCTCTGCTTGACCGCAGGTGCCTGTCACGTGGAGGGACTCTGCCCTTCGTGGGGTGCTCGCGGGCCGGGTCCCTCCCAGGCAGTGGTCCCGGAAGGATGTTGGAGTTAGTGGAGTCCACGTTTAGCCATTGTTAGAGGAAAGCTTGATCTGTTATGTCTAAAATCCACTTCTGTTCTCAGTGGGCCTGCCTCGAGCAGGTGTATCTCTGAACAAACATAGCAATATGTAAGTGCCAGGTGTTTTGAAGGCCTTGTGAGCAGGCAGCTTTCCGGGCCCGAGGAGGTTCCTGCGCCGAAACATGCCGGTCTAGTGATCTTTCCATAGTCTCTGCTGTGATTGTTGCAAAATGAGGCTTCGTTGCTCTCACCCCATATCCCAGAACCCGTCTTCAGGGCAGACTGAATTGGTGGATTGAACTGTGGGCCTGGGATAGCAGGCTTCCTGCCTCCAGGTGGCCTTTTAAAAATAGTATTTTTACTTGCTAATATGGATGGTGGTTTAAGTGTGTTTTTCCCTTTTGGTTTTTTGTATTTGAATGTAGTACTCATGAATGCAATGTGAATGTCTGTGACTTAAAAACAACATTGAAAACAACCTCCCCCAAACCGCAGGCATTGTGTTGAAGCAAATGTCCTCCACCACAGAGAGAGTGAAGTTCACCTTCATCAGGCAGCAGACAACAGGAAGTGCTGGGCTCTGCTTTAAACTCAGGGTCAGAGGGGTGAGAGGTTGGGGTGGTGTTAATCCGTCAGGTGCCATTCATTTTGAAACTAGCCACCTTCATTTGAATGCAAGTATCATTCTTATCAGGTAATTCTTTTCAAGCAGCTCCATGGTGAGGATGGTGCAGCCACTTGCTCACCCCTTGGTGTGTGCCAGGCCATTCTCACAGAACTCTGTGCAGGTCTTGTTATTAGTCTATCTATAGATGGGGCATTGAAGGCTTAGACCGATGAAGAAAACTAGGGAGAAAGGAGGATGTTCCAGTCTGTGTCTGTGTTGACTCTGAAATCTGACCTCTTAACCAGAAGATGTGAACTTCCTGGTGTTGAGGGAGGGTTCTGAGAAGTCCATGTGCCCCAGTGGTCTGACTTGAGAATCTGGATGGTTAGAACACCCAGTGGTCTCTGCTGGGTCTCTGGATGGGCTCCTGCCTCCCAGAGGAACCTAAGAACAAGTCCTCTGGGAGAAGGCCGTCCTGGCTCACCAGAATGCAGGTTTCTGTGCTTTCACATCAGTGCACGGCTGTCTAAGGTTGGTTAGGGTACTAAGAGCAGTTTTATGAAGTTTGTTCATTGAAACAGAAAACCCATGGCCAACTTGCATTTACTTGGTGGTAACTGTGCCTCCAGGGGTGGAGAGCCTCGTGACTAAAGGAGGCCTGTGGTTGTAAGGTGGGGCTCTCTTCCTGGGGTCCAGAAAGGTCTGGACCTGGAGTGTTCAGGACACAGACATCTTCCCTGAACCGATGTATTTTTTTGCTTGTTCAAAGCAGTCCCCGACCCCCATGACTTTGAAGATTTTAGCTCTGTATTGAAAGAATTATGATGGAGTGTTTCAGGGTCCCATACCTGAGGGACATAAAAGCTGTTTTTAAAGGGTGGTGACAGAATAAATTAGTGCAACCTCTCTGGAGGCTACTCTGGCAATATTTACCCAAATTAAAACGAAATCTTTTTGTTGTGAGGCTCATGGGGAGCACCTGGCAGGGTCACTTGTCAGCATCTGCTCCACAAACACCCAGATCCGACCACAATTACAATTGGCCACCTAAGTCTCCTCTGCCTGTTTGCTTGCTGGCTCCTTCTCATCCTGAGCTTTAGCTATATTGCTCCTCCTAGGAGGGCCTGCCTGCAGGAGCACTCTGCTTAGAGGCCAGGACTGTGTCTGCCTGGCTCATGCCTGTCCCCATGCAGAACCCAACTAGGTATTGCCACCTCCCAGACACTCAAGAGATTTGAAGGCAGGTGATGCAGGGTAGGGGGCATCCAGGTCTCTTACTGCCACAGATGTGTGGCCTAATTAGTGCTCAGCATTAGCAAACCATGTATTTGAACTGCTTTTGTCAAAACTTTTTCATTGTCTGCATAGACCTTTTATGAACCAGTAGCTTTAATTGAAAGAAGAATGCTGTTGCCCAGGCCAGATGGCTCAGTTGGTTCTAGTGTCGTTTCGTACACCACGAAGGTTGCAGGTTTAATGCCTGGTCAGGACACATACCTAGGTTGTGGGTTCCGATCCAGGTTAGGGTGTGTTTGGGAGGCAACTGATCGATGTTTCTCTTTCCTTTCCTCTTTCTCTAAAGTCAATAAAAAACATCCTTGGGTGAGGACTAAAAAGAAAAAAGAAGAATGCTGTTATCTCGTTTTATTTACCTCTATCATTTTGAGAAATTAAAGAGCTATATAGACAGTTGCAAACACCCTGTAGATCCACCATCCAGAGCACATTTTTTATTTCTTTTTTGTATAAAATAAAAAAAATGCTGAAGTTGAAGCAATGACATTTAGTAGACTTTTAAAGTCTGATTACAAAAGTCATACATGCTAATTATAGAAAGATTGGAGAAAATTGAGAAGCACTAAGAAGAAAACAAAAGTCACCTGTAGCCCTGTAACCTTGTGACCATCTGGGTGTTTACTTTGAATCTTCTTTTCAGCTCTGACCATCCTTTTTCCCTTGGCAGTATTGGGGGAGCCTCTCCCAGATAGCTTGTCCCACCCACAGTGGGGCTATGGCCCCAACGCCCCACGTGCATATGCCCTGATTGCCTCAGCCCTCTTCTGGACCACTTGGTTCAGTTCCAGTTTTTCAATATTATACATAACACTGCCGTGAACATCCCATATGTGCATCTTCATGTTCATCTCTGAATATTTTCTTAGGATACATTTTTAAGTACAACCACGGAATACAGGACCCACATTTTCTATTTTCATGTCTCATTTTTAAGTGATTGGGAAGTGCCCTTTGGGATGGATGAGTCACGCCATGGGCGTCACCTAGACTGGGACAGCCCTGCAGGTGAGACACTGTTGAGTTAATATGTGATGTCCTCTTTCAGTGCACTCCCCATCACGGACACTCCTCCATCACAGGCTCCTCACCACTAAGGGTATGACACACACGTGGGATCAGCCAAGTCTGGGTTTGGATCACTGCTTCAGGCCTATTATTTTCCCTTGGAGTTGTTGCTGTGACTGCCCACAGCGCATTTACAGCCTTAACCTATGCCCCAGGCCTGTTTACCATCTCAAACTGACTTCCCCCTCCCCCAGCCTAGGGAAGCTCCTAGTGCCCCAGGGGAATGAGGCAGAGCTGGGAGGTTCTGTTCGGTTTGTAGATTCTCTGTTTTAGTCCCCCTCTACCCATGCAAATAGAGATGAGTTTTCTAGAAGTGAGAAAAGATAACATGTTAAAGCTGCCCTGATTTGCTTTTCGCTGGCTTGCTTTCTGAAACTGGCATGTCTCGCATGTTTATCACACTTCTTGTTGTCTCTGGTCAAGCCTAGCTGTTTTCTGAAAATATGTGAGGTTTCTTTATAGTAACAGAAATCCAGGGTATAAAACTAGATGTGAACCCGCCTCTGAACCTTGTGTGGAGGGCAGAGTACAGAGAAGTCCTAGGGCACTCTCTGGCTTTTCCTTTCTGTTTTTGTTTGTTAATCCTCACCCAAGGATATTCTTTCAGTTGATTTTTAGAGAGAGTGGAAGGGAGGGGGAGAGATAGAGAGAAACATGGATATGAGACTCATCAATTGGTTGCACGAGCCCTAACTGGGGCTGAGGATGGAGCCTGCAACTCAGGTACATGCCCTTGACCAGAATTGAACCTGTGACCCTTCACTCCTCTAGCCGATGCTCTAAGCCAGCGGTTCTCAACCTGTGGCTCGCGACCCCTTTGGCGGTCGAATGACCCTTTCACAGGGGTTACCTAAGACCATCCTGCATATCAGATATTTACATTACGATTCATAACAGTAGCAACATTACAGTTATGAAGTAGCAAGGAAAATAATTTTATGGTTGGGTCACAACATGAGGAACTGTATTAAAGGGCCAGAAGGTTGAGAACCACTACGTCTAACCACTGAACCAAACCGGCTCGGGCCACTCTCTGGGTTTTAATAAATGGCCTCTTTAATCTGGAAACAGTATGGGCAAGTGTATTTGGAACTGAACTTTGTTAAAGGTCCTGAAGCCTTAAGGAATATTTGCACAGAACCTGAGAGCAGTCAGCCAGAGCTGAGAGGCCTCTGCATGAAGCCCCTCTGGGCAGTAAGGGGTGTCTCTGAGGTGTGGGGTTCCTCCCACCTGCTCAGGCTGGGAGACTGTCTTACCAGGAGCCCCTGGCTGCTGGAGAAGCCAGCCAAGGAGGCTGATAGGCACAGGCCATTTCACATACTGAGGGTGTCAGTACAAAGCATAACTCGGCTCAGCCATTTTTATTGTTGTGGAGTTTATTTTGTTGGGTAATTATAAAGTACTAGAGGCCTGATGCATGAAATTTGTGCAAGAGTAGGCCTTTCTTCCCCCTGCTGCCGGCACCGGCTTCCCTCTGGCACCCGGAACCCGAGCTTCCCTCTGTCCCGGGCTTCGTCTGGAATGACGTCCGGAAGGATGTTCGGTCTAATTAGCATATTACCCTTTTATTATTATAGATTGTGTAGAATCTGTTTTTTAAATTAAGAACAGAGAACAAAACTGTTTTGTACATACATATAACAAACAATGGCACATTCCTTTTCCCTGGGTAGCAAGTTAATGACAGAGAGAGAAAAGTGTGGCTTTGTCAGGAAGAACGTGCTGAGCACAGAAGAAACAGATCCCTCCAAGCAGCACTGTGTGGGCAGGTGTGGAGGACCGCAGAGAGAACTCTGAGGGAGGCTGTGCCAGCATTGGGACAGCCTGGGCACCTCCTGCTGGGCAGAGCCACCTGCTGCGTGATTCCTGACCTTCCTAGATTTTCAGGGCCTGTCGGAAGGGGGGGTGAGATTTACAGCTTTTATTCTACAGTGTTACTGGATGGCCATTGGAAGGCATCATGCCAGCCCCTGGCATTCAGAGCACCCTCGGGGTTTCCTGTGCCTGCCCCACCCTTCAGGAAAAACTCAGCTAGTCCACACCTCAGCTCCCTATCCCGGGTGCTGCTCTGACCCAGAGCCACAGTTAAAGCTGAGAGGGGAGCAGAGGCCAGAAGGTGCTTGGCAAGGGCGGAACAGAGACCCTTCTTAGCTCCAGAGGCTATAATGGGAGGAGTGACTCCTGAAGGAGCTGTGAAATTGAGGCTTTCAAACCAGGGCAAATGGTTATTAACCTTAATAGGCTGAACTGGCACTGGGAAGGACCCATTTTCAATTACACTGGTAGTAAGGCGTCTAGGGCAGCAGGTGGGCTCCTGACCTCTTGAACTGAGCTAAACTTGGGTTATAACTGCCATCAGTGCAGAAGCAATTGGAAAGCTCACTCACGGGACTGCCGCTGCGGGGAAGTGTTCTACAGAGGAACGCGAGCCGAGTCAGACAGGCTCTTGGAGGCAGGCGCTTTGGACTGACTAGGACCCTTCCCAGGTCTCTTTTCTCTCCGACCCCAGAGAATTCTAGTTGTAAGTCAGCTGATCACAGCCCCTTCCATCGAGTTCTCACTTCTTGCTGACCATTTTGGTCATTTTTTAGTAGTTATGTTTTGGGGGAGAGGGAAGAATTACGTTTCAGCTAAAAAAAAACAACAGTCTTCAGACATGTGAACTTTATTTAAGACCTTGCTCATCACCAAGTTCCTAAATATTCACCGCTGAGGAAGCGTTTGAGAGCAGAATCAAGCCCTGAGTCTGTGTGGGGATGCTTGGAGTCCTCTGACCTTGCCTGCTGATGGAGAGGACATTTGCTTAGTGGCCCTTGGTACTTATCCCTCTTTGCTAGTCTTTTTTCCCAGGCTCAGATTTTTAAAAACCATTATTCAGAATTTACCTTAACTATGTGGGAGTTCAGAATGAGCCACCCCAAGATGTGCCTCATCGATTGGTACATGGATTATTTTGAGCTAAAGGCAACTCAGACCCTGTGGGCTCAAGAAAAACTTCTGCCCCTCTCCCCCTTAACTATCTAAAGGACTTTAATTTCCTAATCGCCCATAAGAAGGGATTTTCAGAGATAGCTTTTCTTGACCTGCCTATATGACAGGGCAGACTTCTAATTACTGACCCTCTGCTCTTCCTATCCTCCTGGGGTGACCTTCCCCTCCTCTGAAGCCCCCAGCTGCCTTACCTCATCCCTAGCTCAGACTGTCCTCTGTACCTATTTCCCGTTTCTCTCTTTGAACCTCTTCTATAGGTGGGGTCTCTGACTTTCTCATGTATGTGGGGCTCCCATGCACATGAAATTAAATTTGATTTTCCCTTTTCAATCTCTTGTTGGTTGGATTATCAGTCTAGCCAAAAGAGCCAGGGGAGGGAAAGGGGAATTTTTCCTCTTCCCCACAAGTGCATTGGATTCTATGTGCTTCTCAGTTTTGCTTAGTGTAGTTCATTGTTTTCAAATCTTGTGTATTTTTGAAACCCTTAAACTAATGAGATTAAATATTGGCTATTTAAATTCCAAAGGTAGTATATTGTGAGAGTCAGTGTTTCCTACTTAGGATGTCACCTTTGATGGAAAGTTAGGCCAACTTGGTCTGGTTGGGCATTTTAAATCTTCTTCGGGTGAGTTAGGACGGGGTCAGGCACAATAACGTGGTGCTCTCTCTTCCTCTTCCAGCCCTGCCCCAGGGAAGCCACGTTGATGTTTGTCGATGCAGCAGTGCCACCCCGCGTGGTGATGACCTTCCAGCGCCTGGTATGTGCACTGGCCTCCCGCCAGCTGGCTCCCATAAGACATGGAGGAAGCCGCCCTCTGCACGTAGCCCATGCAGCTCGCTCTGACAAGAGCGCCCCAGTGTTCACCCGCGCCCTGGCCTTTGGAGAAAGAGTTGCCCTCGTTGACCAGCATGGCGTCCACACGTACAAGGACCTTTACTGCCGCAGCCTCCGCCTGTCCCAGGAGATCTGCCGGCTCCTTGAGTGTGCCGGCCAGGACCTGCAGGAGGAGAGGATCTCTTTCATGTGCTCCAATGACGTCTCCTACGTGGTTGCACAGTGGGCCTCATGGATGAGCGGCGGCATTGCCGTCCCTCTCTTCAGGAAGCACCCCCAGGCCGACCTGGAGTACTTCATCCAGGACTCCCGGAGCTCTGTGGTCCTGGCTGGCCAGGAGTACGTGGAGCTCCTGAGTCCAGTGGTCAGGAAGCTAGGGGTCCCACTCCTGCCTCTCCCACCTGCAGTCTACAATGGGGCAGCTGAGGAGCACGGGGTGGGGGAGTTGCCGGAACGAGACTGGAGAGACCGGGGTGCCATGATCATCTATACCAGCGGGACCACGGGGAGGCCCAAGGGTGTCCTGAGCACCCATCACAACATCAGGGCTGTGGTGAGTGCTTGTGTGGGCCACCACTATTGGGAGGGGTCAGGCAATTGTAGACACAGTTATGGCATGGCTGGTGGGGATGGTGTGGTGTTCCTGTAGTTTTCTGTAGGGCATTCATAGCTGTCACCATCCTACCACCATTTCTTGTGTGTTATTTTTGTGTTCTGTAGCCTTAGTTACCATCTTTGCAAAACTCCCCAGCCATGTTACTTATCTGTAATTTATACCTTCCTTCCTTCCAAAAAACTCTTCAATGCACAATAAAGACAATTATACAGTAAGAGAAATAAAATGAAACAGAAGCTCAAACCACAGGAGGAAGGAGGTCAGTGCCATTGAGTTTAGACTAACTCAGTCCCCTAAGTCAGTGGTAAGCTGGATCCAGGCTGGCTGCAAGGGAGCACGATTGATAAGTTACCTATGCCTCCTAGAAGAGTGTCCTTTTCACCTGGAGAGCCGTCTCTTGACTTGTATTTCTAAGGGGAGTGATGATCTCGCATGCATTTGCACATAAAGGTCATGAGGTATGCAGGACAGTGTGCTCAGTGGTGATTCAAATAGACGAGTCTCACTGCTTCTCAGTAAAAGCTGCGGATGTGCCTGGAACACCCAGCTCTGGGTTCCTTCACAGCCGAGCTGAGGATGGTGCTGGGAGTGCCAGGGAGCTCAGACAGCCATCAGAGGTTGGGCAGCTGGATACAACACTGGCCTCTGGTGAGGCCCCAAGTCCCAGGGCCTGTCAGAGCTGAAATTGCACCTCTGACTGCCCCAGAGTGGGGGGTGGGAGCCACCAAGAGTGCAGCTCTGAGCACCTGGGAGGAAGTCACCAGAAATGTTTGCAGAGGCCTTGGGGCACCAAATCAGAGACCCTTTCATAATGACTAAAGCCCCTGACTGTGTGACTGTTCAACACGGGTAACCAAGTAAACCACAGACCCTCATCATTTCATTATCATCTCCGGTAGATGCCATTAAGGATGCAGTGACAAAGAATGAGCTTTCTCTCCCCACTTCTCCTCTCAGCTGGGGAAGCCCCCTCTGCGTTCTTCCACCTGCATAGTGGCTTCCCTCCTGTCTGAGGCTGTGCTGTTGTCTTGCAGGTGACGGGGCTGGTCCACAAGTGGGCGTGGACTAAAGACGATGTGATCCTTCATGTCCTCCCCCTGCATCATGTCCATGGCGTGGTCAACAAGCTGCTCTGTCCACTCTGGGTGGGAGCCACCTGTGTGATGCTCCCGGAGTTCAGTGCCCAGCTGGTAAGTGGGGGACAAGCTCTCAGCATGGCCAAATTGGGCACCTGAGGACCAGGCACCTTCCTCTGGTGTAAACTTTGCCAGCAGTTCAAGTTTTCTGTTGCTGCCATAACAAATGATCCCAGTGTGGGGGTTTATAACAGCCCAAGTTTATCATCTTGCCGTCTGGAAGTCAGTGGTCCAAAATGAGTCTTTCGGAGCTAAAATCAAGGGGCCAGCAGGGTTGATTCCATCTGGAGGCTCCAGGGGAGAATCTCTTCTTGCCTCTTCCAGTTTCTAGAGGCACCACAGTCCTTGCCTTGTGAGTGTGTCACTTCAGTCTCTGCTTCTGTGGTCACCTCTCCCTCTCTTTTAAGGACCCTCTGATCACAGTGGGCCCACCCAGCTACCAGGGCCACCTCCTCATCTCAAGATCCTTAGCTTAATCACATCTGCAAAGTCCCTTCTGCAACATGAGGTACCACATCCCTGGAGATGAGGACATTTGGAGCCATTCTTGAGCCAATTTCACGGGCTTTCAGCAGTTCTGCAGCAGATGGTTCAGCTGGGGCTCTTTATTAGTTTCCTCGATTGTCCCCTTTTCCACACATTGTTCCTTTCGAACATGCTGTGAGGTCACAGGGGAGGGGACATGTGGTTGTGGCCGTGTGGAGAAGGAAGTGGGAGCGGAGCCCTCACTACTGAGCAGAGCATAGCCATGAAGGACACTGCTTTGAAGGGGAAAGGACTGGGATCTGACCTGCCGCTTGACACTTGTGACCTGTGTGCAGCTCCCCTGGAGCCTTTCGGACCCTGTCCTGAGAGCCCGGGCACAGCTCTGGGGTGGAGGCTGGCAGACAGGGCTCTGGGCCTCCCTCCCCTCCTTCAGCCGTTGAGCTTGCCTTCATCGTTTTGTGTTTTATTTTTCAGTTGCAGGACCCTTAATGGTTTACATGGTTTTACAGAAAGTCTGCAGCTTAAATATGCCCTTCAGGGCACCGTGCTGAGGCACTGTTTCCCTTCAAGCATAAAGACCTACCTGTGGCCTCTTAGCCCAGGGGTCAGGCCACTTCCTCCACCCCCCTTTCATTGTGGGCCTCCGACTGAGGGCCCTGCCAAGTCTGTGATTCTCAGCACTGCTCCCTCCAGTCCAGAGATCGCTGCACTGAAGGGAAGCATGGGGGTGAGGAGCAGGCATCATCCGAGGCTGTTGTCTGCTTAGTAGGATTGACTGGTAAGGGCAGGTGGGGATGGCAACAGGCGATGTGAGAAAAAGCTCACCTGAGGCAGGGGAAGCTTCACCTGACTGGGAGGCTTTTGCACAAGAGTGTGCCAGTACTTTGGACTCTCCAAGACCCCCTAATTCTCCATCCACTTGGAGGACCTCCCCCGGACCAAGGGCGATGGGAAAGCCTCCTCCTTGTGTAAGTTACTGTGTGCTGCTGCCCCAGCACAGCCACTCTACTCCACCGAGGTTTCTCAGGAGCCAGAGCTGTGCTTGTGGGTTCCGTCTGTCCACACTCCAGCGCTGGTTGATTTTAGGGGCAAAGGAGGGAGGGCTGAGTCTCCAGAATCCCTGTAAGCATAGGGAGAGCAGGTCCACCCTGACTCGGAGCCCCAGAAAGCCCGGATCAGGAACCTAGCAGCCCGGCCCGTCACTGACGGACTTCTCAAGTGGACATTGCCAGAGTCCTCATTTCCTAGTTCTGCTTCGGGAGCGACATGAGTGCCCAGTAGGCCTGGCAAAGATGTGTTGGGCTGGCACAGCAGTGGAAAAAACAAAAATCGAGGAGGCGGTTTTTCCCCAAACACAAAGACCCAGGAATGAGAAGGAAAAAAAGCAGAAGGAGGCATGGCTGGCCTCCCTCCTAGCTGTGCCAGGCCTTGTCCCCTTCTCTCCTCTCCCATCCCCATCATTTTGCTCCAGCTGCACTGGCTGCCCTGCTGTCCATACACTCCACCCACCCACCTCAGTCAGCACTCTGCCTACCCTCGGTTTGCTCACCTCTCTGTAAGTCTTTGCCCATATGTCACTCAGCAAGGCCCTGGCCACTCTAATCATCACTGCAACCATCCTCCGTGCCCCCGCCCCATCCTGGCCCTGCCTCTGCAATTTATCATAGCACTTACCGCCTTGAAGCCCATAGAATCATCTCTCTCCTCCTAGAAGGTCTACCCCAAGAGCACAGGTTTGCCTTCAGTTCACGGTGTGTCCCCAGGGCCTAGACTCTAGGCCCTAGAGCATCGGAGGGTCAGAGTGTTAGTGACCAGATGGGTGAATGGATGGTTATAAACATGATACATGGACTCCTGGGCTTCTCACTTCCCCAATGGTTGTGTGGACCATGAGGACATGCTGCTGGGCGGCAGGTTCATACCCCTCTACAAACTGCCTTGCTTTATTTCAGTATCATGACTGGCTGGATTTGTCCATCAGGTGTATGGGGAGAAAGTCCCTTAAATCACTTAGGGGAGAGGTTATTTGTTTGATGAAATTTTACTGTATCAACTCCTCTGAAATTAGAGCGTAAATAGATACCATGTAACACGATCGTCTACTTAAAATCCATTACCAGAGTCCCTTAAAGCAAGAAACTTCTCTGCAAAGCTCTGGGTTGTGCACGTTCATAAAGGCCACGACAGTAGGACTCGGCCTCTTGTGCTCATGGCCTATGGCCATGGATAGTGTGATGCATGGATGTGCTCATCAGTGTCCTTGGCTGTGGGAGATTTCACATGGAAACATGGCAAAGAGCCTCATCCTGGGCGTGCGGGAGGCCCCACTGGCCATCCTTGGTGTTCCACCCTCTGAAGAGGTCTGTAGTTTAAAGTTTGATGGAATTGATTTTGTTGAATACATACCTGTGTAGCTTAGATGTTGTGAAAATGAGAATACATTTTGGACAAGTAAGCACTCAACAGGGAAAAAACCTACAGGGTTTTCATATCTGCTCCCAGAGCTCCAGGTTTGGTGTATTCTTTGGCTTCTTGGGCACTCTCCCATCTCTCCACAGGGGCCCCACTAGGGGCCTGGAAGCGAGTGGGTGCCTTCACCACCGAGCAGCGAGGGCCATTGTCTGTCATTAGGATGCTCCTTTCTCCTATTGAGGTGCTGGGATGAGAGGCCACCAGGGGAACTCACAAGAAGGGTCAAATCTCAGACCTTTGTGGTTCTTTGCCCTAACTTGGAATTTCTCAAAACTGTGCAGCAGAGCTAAATATCAAAACAAGTTTGATAAAAGATTGCAACCCTGAGTTTCAGAATTTTGTGAATTTAGACATTTATATTAGTAAAATCCTTTTACTAAATATTGGGGTTTTGTTTAAGCTTGTATTTAAGCAGTGGTGTAGGGTGACCAGAAACCTATAGTGGTGTTTAAGTCATAGATCCCAGGATCCTCAGGTCATCCTGCTAACAGTGGGGTGACAGGCTGTCACGTCCTGCGAGCCTGACTGATGAGGTGACAGTGACTCGGAGGACAGGCGGAAAGATGGATGGGCGAACTGCCTGATGTCACCCCTGAAGAACAAAGTCTGGCTGTTGATGAGCTGTCCAGAGTCTCAATCGATTTCTTGTCTCAGGTGACTTGGCTCTGGCCGACTTCCTCAGGATCCAGCAGCAGGAGCACTAAATCAGGGACCTTGGGGCTGGCACTCCCTCCTCTGTTGACCTGCTGGGTACCTGCTCAAGGGCAGGGGCTCTGCCGCGCTGGAGGCTGTGGAAGCCACCAGTGCATTCTGTTGAGGCCAGCACCCCTGTCCAGGATACCATTTCCTTTGGTTAAACATGTTGACCTGTGGCCCCAGACAAAGTTCATCCTGGGCTCTGAGAAACTGGATCTTGTTGAAAGGGGGTCAGGCAGTGTGTATATAAAGGTGCAGGGAGAGTTTGGGGTAGAGAAGCAAAGAACATTATGCTACACTGACCCCATAGACCCAGTCACAGTGTGGGGGGTACTACTAGGCAGGAGTGCTCACACCCAGGTCTGCTCCACAATGTGGGGTCACTACAGCAGGAGGTGCTCACACCTCATAACTGCTCCATAGTGTGGGGTCAGTGGGACAGGAGATGCTCACACCTCAGATCTGCTCCACAGTGTGGGGTCACTAGGACAGGGTGCTCATACCCCACAGTGTGGGGTCACTAGGACAGGGGGTGCTCAC